AGAGTCCTTTGCCAACCAGCCCCATGGTGCTGCCAGCTAGGATGGGGTACAGAGTGCCAGTATTTTAACTTATTTTATACACCTTGCCTGCAGGGCTCGAAGTGTTTTAGTGCCTTTCCCTGAGTGCAAGAGAGAGGGGGAGCTGGTGATGCTGTTTCAGCACCAAAGCTCTGGCCAGCTGGGAGGAGGCTTCACTTCTCCCAGTAGCTGAGCATGGTCCTAAGAGAGAGGGAAGGCAGAGATGTGAATGAGGCAGATTTATGTTCCCACAGAATGGGAGATGGGCTGTTAGCTGCCTGAAGCCAGGAGGGGGCTTGGTGCCTTGGCTGCACTCCAAGGAGGGAGGGGAGCAGAGGGGTGGGGTGACTGGTCTGCCCAGTGCTGAAAGACAAAAATCTCTTGAGCAATTAGCAGCCTGGGTCCATACACTTTGAATAGTTAGGGTGGGGTGATTCACCAGCTCCATACCCTTCCATCTGTGCACCAGACCTCTGCCCTTCTGGGTTTCTCAGCCATGGTAGCCTGGGAGAGGGCTAGGGCCACTCGGATGACCTACAGTGGGCACTGGTGCCCCAGGGGAGGGTGGGGAGGGAAGGCTGGTATGGAGGGAGGAAAGGCTAATGGGTTGGGTCCAGTGACTGCCTTCTGGAGACAGGCTTGCACAGAGGTTTTTGGCCTAGTGAGGCATCACTATTGTTATCTGAACACGATTACTGCTTCCTCCCTTCCCACTAGTGGCTCTGTTTTTTCCCTGCTGTGCCTGGGTCCCCGTCATGGCTGCATAGCGTTGGGTAGAGTCGTACCTTCCTGGGCAGCATGGCATCCTTAATTAGTGCTCGAGTTTCTTCACCAGAACTTGGGAGAGAGCTGGCTGCGGGTGCTATGGGTCATGTTGCAGCAGCAACCTCTGCACTGGTTGTCAAAGGGCTGGGGATACTCTGCATATGGAAAGGGGGTCAGCAAGGAGATGTCAGAGGAGTGGAACACCCATGGCAGCTGTCAGGAACAGTGTTTTCAGGGGCCACATTGTTGACCATAGTCCACAGGGTTGAGGATTTGGCGGGGTGGGGGGAGGAAGGGAGCAGGTTGCTTTTACAAGGTGGAGGGCACATCCTTGGGGTCCAGGTCCAGAGTTGCGATGTCCATGGCTTCAGAGCTTTGTCCATACTCCAGCACATTGTGCTTCATGTTCTCAACAATGTCTGAGATGTCAAGGGAGCTCAGCTTCAAGTACAACTCTTTTTCCAGATCCTCTGACAATCTGGGGACTAGCATTAATGGACTGGACTGCCAGGAGCAATTCTTGTGCCCTGTGACCTCGGGGGACCTGCTTCTGGGCACCTGGTTGTCCCATTGTCCTGGGGTCTTCTTGTGCCACCTCCTGCAGTGGAGTCCCTGCTAGTAACTCCTCATGCCCCCCGATGGCATCACATGTGTGCTAGGTGGCAGTGGTTCTGTCCATCATGAGGAAGTGGGACAGCACCTCCTAGAAGGGCATGCTTTGCCTTAAGGCCCTCTGCCTCCTCTCTCATCATTGTAGTGCAATGTGCTATTGAACAGACAAGTCTAAAGGCTATTGTTCAGTGATCACAAAAAATGAGCAAGTGTGCCTCTCTGCCCAAGACTCTTTTGTGTTGCACTGTGTAGCCTTCTCCCAGAACTGCTTCTAAAAGATACCTGAGGCTAGTGACAACCAGGAATCGGAGTATTTGACTTTCAGGGTTCAGGTGTGACCAAATTTCTTGTTTGTCTCAGATAGTCACCAGTATTTGCACTTCCACTTGACTTGTTGCTTGAAGGCTCATAGGTGATTTGTTTGAGATACTCGCTAAAAAAGGAGTCAATTTCAAGTCAATTTTGTAAGGAATATGGGGAAGGGGGGTGTAGATGCTGGCAAAACAGCTCACGAAAAGGCTCATGACAGTGTATATAATACCTTCTATATGGGGAAGTGACTTCAGCAGAGAGGTATGGAAAGGAGTCTTGCAAGCAACTTAAAGGGCATTATGATGGTAGAAGGCCTACTTGCCATTGGGGCAATCGGGATGGTCAGGCATGACTTGCCCTTGGTGAATCCACGCTGACTGTTCCTAATCACCTTCTCTTCCAAGTGCTTTAAGATGGATTCCTTGAGGCTCTGCTACATGGTTTTTTCCAGGGACTGAGGTGAGGCTGACTGGTCTGTAGTTCCTTGGATCCTCCTCTTTCCCCCTTTTTTTTTTAATATAGGCACTATGTTTGCCCATTTCCAATCATCTGGGACCTCTCCTGATCACCATAAGTTTTCAAAGATGATGGCCAGTGGCTCTGCAGTCTCCTCAGACAACTCCTTCAGCACCCCTGGGTGCATCCTGTCTAGCTTCATGGACTTGTACATGTCCAGCTTTTCTAAGTAGTCCCTAAACTGTTCTTTCACCAGTGAGGGCTGCTCACCTTCTCCCCAAACTGTGTTGTCTGGTGCAGTAGTTAGGGATCTGACATTGCCTGTGAAGACTGAGGTGAAGAAGGCATTGAGCCTTTTCTGCATCCTCTGTCACAAGTTTGCCTCCCCTGTTCAGTAAGGGACCCACACTTTCCCTGATCCTCCTCTTGCTACCGACATACTTGTAAAAAGTGTACTTGTTACCCTTCATGGCCCTTGCTAGCTACAACTCGAGTTGCCTTCCTGACTTTATCCCTGCATGCCCAAGCAATGCTTTTATACTCCTCCCTATTTGCCAAAATTGCTGCTTCTTATAAGCTTCCTTTTTTGTGACTTAGTTTTCTGAAGAGTTCCCTGCTAAGCCAAGCTGGTGTGCTGCCATACTTGCTAGTCTTCCTGCACATTGGGATGGCTTGTTCCTGTACTCAGTAAGGCTTCTTTTTAAGTACAGCCAGCTCTCCTGGACTCTTCTCCCCCCTCAGATTGGCTTCTCAGGGGATCCTGCCCATGAGTTCCCTGAGCAAGCCAAAGTCTGCTTTTCTGAAGCCCAGGGTCCTTAGTCTGCTGTTCTCCCTCCTTCCTTTCCTCAGGATCCTGAAGTCAATCATCTTGTCGTCACTGCTGCCCAAGCTGCCATCCACTACTACATTGCCCACCAAATCTGGCCTGTTTGTGAGCAGTGGGTCAAGAAGAGCATGGCCCGTACTTGGCCACTCCAGCACTTGCTCCAGGGAGTTGTCCCCAATACTCTCCCAAAACTTCCTGGATTGCCTTCTCACTGCTGTATTGCCCTCCCAGCAGATGTCAGGGTGATTTGAAGTCCCCCATGAGAACCAGAGCCTGTGGTGGGGAAACTTCAGATAGCTCTTTGAAGAAAACTTCATCTACCTCTCCCTTCTAGTCTGGAGGTTTATAGGAGGCACCCACCACAACATCTCCCTTCTAACCTTAACCCAGAGACTTCCAACAGGCCTATCTCCAGTTTCATACTGAAGCTCTGAGCAATCATACGGCTCTTTTACATAAAGTGCAACTCCTCCTCCTCCTCTTTCTTGCTTGTCCTTCCTGAACATCAAACATCTACACTTTAGATAAGGCTTTTTAGTCTTTTTGAAGTTCTTTTTCGTTTGTTGTTGTTGCTGCTGAGTTTTTTGCTTGTGGTGTTTTTGAGGGTTTTTTTTTTGGGGGGGGGGGGATGGTTTACTACATGGAAATAAAAAAAAAAAAATTACATCAATCTGAAGATAAATGGAGAGAGAACCCTCTGTGCTTGTCCTTGCTTGTTCTGCATTGCTTTCTGACTTGGCATTTCACTGGATACTATTAAGTTCATGTAGTGTAATGGGATACTTGCAGTTCTTAGGCTCTTGAAGATTCTTGGAGATGGCTTCCAAACCAATCTCTGTGCAGCACATGGGACTATTTCCATAGAAATATGTCATGCTCAATAGCTGAACAGATTTATGGTCAAACATCTTTCAAACAAAGAAGTCGAGTTTTTCTTATGACATTTATGTGCTCAATTTGTATTAACAAAAAGGAAATATTAACCTTGAAGGTACTGAATAATCTCCCTGAACTTGTTCACCATCCAGTGTCCTTTTAAAGCAGAAATTATATTTTTAAAATGAATATTCCTATGGTGTTCTGCTTTTCAAAAAGGTTAACTTTTATTTTCTTTTTAATGTTGTTGATTGTGTTCCTAAAAACTTTTAGAAACACACTTTTGAGAGGAAACTCACTACTGCCAAATTCTGTAGAGATAGAAATGTTTGTATTGCTATGGAAACAAAGCTAAAGATGGCTCATTCTGTGAAAAACAAGTTGTGGGGTGACTGAAAAGCAAGTTACAAAGGTAACAGATTTCTGTGTGCACATGAGAAACACTGACACTGGATTTTCTGGGTAGAAGGATTTTTTTTTTTTTAATTTTAATTTTTCCACTAAGAAGGGGTTACTTCCATCTATGGATATACATTTGATTAAAAAAGAAGCCATCAACAGGTTTGAGTGACACGGCTACATAGATATTGGCCAGTACAGACAAACGCTTCTACTGCATGATTTAGGAATCCCAACTATACAGCTGGCTAATAAAAAATATTGCACCCCCACCCCCAACAAAAAACAAACCAACAAAAAAAATCCCTTGCTCCTTTAGAGAGAAAAACACCCAGTTTGCAAGCCTGCTTGTAATGAAAGAGGAACCACTAAATTAGGCTAGAATATTAATCCTAATGTATACCCTTTTATGAATAACTAGATTCATATAAAAGAACAACAACTCTAACATTTTAACTTGTGATGTTCACACAAAACATACATTGTATATTTGGCTAAATTGAAACAAGGTAAACTGCCAAATGAATAAAATGCACTCTAACCATAGTTTTGCTAGCAGCTTGGTAGGTATGTAAGGCATGCAGTTCATTTCCTGCCGTGGCTGAGAAACAGGTAGGTCTGAGATAATACTGCTAGTGTACTTGAAAAAGACAAGGTTGTTAATGTTGTAGCTGATGCATTTTTAAAAAAAAAAATTTTGGCTCTTGGCCTCCTTAAAAATGTCCCAGGTAATACCTTTGGGCTGACTGTTTGTTTGTTTTAGCTGTAAGTACTGGATGGATCAGTGGGAGTGAGAATGGGGCTTTCCAAAGCGTAACAGTCATCTGTCAGGAAGACCAAGTCCTAGGAAAGAAGAGAAATAACTAATGTTACAAAGAGAAGAGGGAAGTGAAAATAGAGAAGCTTCAATCCTGATTCAACTCCACAAAAAGTAATAGGGGTTGAATCTGGTCGAGAGTGGAATGTACTTTGCGCATACCCTTCTGCAGTAAGAGATCATAATGGTGTACAGGCTCCTAGCTTTTTCCTTCAAAGCACTCAGTTGAGGAACTCTCTGACATCTGGGGTATGCCACAAAGTTACGGAGTTTGGCCAACACACAGTAATTCTGCAACACATAAAAAGAAAGTGCTTGTACCTTTTCATAGAAGCAATTTAGGGAGGTTTTTGCTTCTGGTTATAGCCATTTGCAAATGTTTTGTCCTGCTTTCCTGCTGGAGAGTTTACAGCTCTCACCTCTATGTACATGCTTGAAGTGTGTTTGGGGAGGGGAGGGTAGCATCATAATGCAAAGTTCTTTTCATCTTGGTGTTTGGAAAACTGGCATATCTACAGTGTCTCAAGTCCATGTGATGTCATGGCTGGGCTCTTTCCACTTCTTTTCAGAGAGGTCAGTGCCAACATTTTATACATTTCACTGAATTTTACTCCTGGAGTTAAAGGATTTGGATACAGGATAGATTGGCACTTCTTATGGGAATAGCTCATTTTGTTATAATATATGCTTATTAAGATATCCTAGTCATAACTTGGTCTGATAGCCAAGCAGAATTTTGCTTACAATAACCCTACTGAGAAGTTTTACCTTATGAAACTACCACATACTAATTTCATAAAATTCTTGTGAAGTGGGTGAATGTTACTATACTACTTTGAAATCCAGGAAAACAAGAACTGTGCTTAAATTAATTTGCTACGCAAGGAGTCAGTGCCAGAACTGGATTTGGAGCCCAAGAGTTCATGAGCTTTAGTTATCCCTTACTTGATTTGAAAATAACATTGGGTTGTAAAATAGTCTGTTTTTGGTTGTGGGTGCATTATATACACTTCACTGGTTAAGATGGAATATAAATTACTTATACTGTTTATATCCGTTGGGGGAGGAGTGAAGATCACACAGCCCTTTATCACTGTCCCTGTCATTCTCTCTTATCATGTAGAACATTTTCATTTGGAGAGCTTAAATTGGCAGAGGTGTGTGTTAAGGAAAAAACATTCCTCCCCTTGCATTTACTGAAATATCAGTTTTATTAGCTGGATGTGCCAAAAGTGGAAATAGAAACAATATCATACTCATTCTGCTTTTGACCATTTCATCCATTATCCCATTCATTTCTATGCATAAATTAGCTGCTGCTAAATTTACAGTACAATAAACTGGTAAAATACAAATGTTTATTACTTGATCAATTATGTTTATTTTTTCAGAAGTGTTGAAATTAAAATATTTCAACAGACAAAAAAATTCTTACAAATGCTGCTTTTCACTTTCCATAACTGGTCTTGGTTAAAATTTTGAAGTAACAGTTTGTTTCAAGTTCCTAAAATGCATCCTACATAATCACTTTTGCCTTTTTAAATACAAGGCAGTACAAATGAATAGTAAAAACTTACATGTACATCCAAGTAGAGGTTGGGCAATGTCTCTACACATGGGTCCTATAGTAAAGTAGAGAAACAATTTGAATTTTTCCTCTCCTAGACAGTTGTTTCAAAAGCAACAAACTAAATCTTTTTTTCTCAAGTATCAGTTTAGATCAACTCACCACAGGCTTGGAGTTCTTCAAGGACTTGAAGGATTCAGTGATTTCTTTGCTCAAAGACAGAATCCTTGAGTAGCAAGTTGGAGGAGCTGAACTAACAAACAGCAAAACAGAGAGCAGAACAATCAGACTCAGCAATATCTTCATTGTGGACAGTGAGTGAATGAAGAGAGAAGGAAAAAAATGAGTTATTGGTTACACAGCTACTATAGACTGCAGCCGTTGAAGCTGAAGTTTGACTGTCAGCCCCCAATTAAATAGTCTCCTGCATCAGAAGGGAAAAAAAAACACGGAGGGGTGGTCCAAACAGTAGCTTGCTGCTATGTTAAATTTCCTGCAGACCTGCGAGCCAAAGCTGCTAGCACTTCTCTCCCCTGCAACCCTCCTTCCCCACTTCTGCTTCAGGGACAGGGAAGAGGAGGAATGAGGATAAGACAAACACAACTGGAACACTTTATCCAAGGAGAAAACAACCTGGTAAACATCTAAAGGATAATGAAGGTATATGTAACACATTGCCCAAGGTTCTCAAGGAGTTGGAAGCCCCTATCCTGCAACCACTTATACACATATTAGTAAGTACTTACAGGGAAAGCAGCTCCACTGCCTAAGTATAATCGGGGCCCAGTGGTGTAGTATTAGACCAGGGGTCCCCCGGGACATGGGCTGAGTACAGCACGTGAGGCCATCTTGCTTGGCACACCACTGCCAGCCTGGGCTCTAGGCAGCTGCTGCCCACCATAAAGCCCGGGCTGCTCCCAGCAGGTGGCTGGGTGGTTGCAAGCCCTGCTGCAAGTGGGGCAGGCTCCATGAATGGCAGCAGTTACCCAGAGCCTGGGCCAGTTGCAGCCAGAAGGCTGCAAACATCTGCTCTGGGCTCCGGCATTAGCTCCATAGTGGTGGGTGTAGGTGTGCCTCAGAGCGGACAGTGGGGAAGTGGCTTGAGGCAGCACAACCCCCGTTTCTCCCCCACTGCTGGCACGGAGCTGATGACTGGGCTCTGGAGCCTGGCGTAGCTGTTTGTAGCCAGCCTGGGCTCTGGGCA